AAGTTATATTAAAAATTCAAATGCCATTTACTATTAAATTAAAAACTCAAACATTTTATTAAATTAAAAATATGTGTTACTATTTAAAAAAACAAAGTTGACCCCCTTCCAAGGCATAAGGGATGAACTTAAAAAGTATTACATAGTTAAAAATTCAAGAATAATGTGTAACTAAAGATAATAAAGAAAAAAAATGTTTAAATTATTATTATTCTGTAAGTAATTGAGTGGGTTATGATAAAAAAATCACCCTGTATATATATACATATATTAGTAACGGTCAGCTGAGCCGGTTGGTTTCTTTTGGAACAATTATTTATTATCAGTAAAAACCAACAAAACAAATTATGCCTGAAGATAATCGCAAAAATGAAGTTACGCGATTAAGCATAAGGAGAGGTCAATTAAAATCAGCATTGACAAAATTTTTAAAGGTTGTGCAAGACGAAAAGTCGGACCTAATCGAAATTCGGCTTAGAAGAGAAAAAATTGAGGAAGCATGGAGTTAGTACGACCAAGTACAGTTGGAAATCGACATGCTAGAAGGGATAAACGTAGAGGAACAGCAAAATTATAGAGCTGATTTTGAAGACTCATACTTTAAAGCCAGTACGATTGCGGAGAAGAGGCTATCTGAATTGAGTAGGGTAGTCAGCAACGCGTCAGACGCTGTTGTAGGGAATACAGCAGCAACATCTTCAATCGTAGCGACACCAACAGTAGCGGCGCCAGCTATTAGATTAGCCCCGCTAGATATCGCATCATTTCATGGCAACTATAAGCAATGGACAACATTTTATGATATTTTTTCGGCATTAATTTATACCAACGACCAATTGTCAGACATACAAAAGTTTTTGCGGTTACCGAAAACCCATGTCGACCAAAGCGTCCAAGGAATTGGTGGAAAAGTACAAAGGATTAAATCTCGAGTAATGGTCCCGTTTAAATGACTATTCAGTAACATTGTCATGTTTAGTAGTCAAAAACATTACGAGTAACCTACCAGGCATCCGACTAAATGATAGCTGCGTGGTTCCGAAAGCTATAGTCTTAGCGGATCCGCGTTTCACCGTGCCACAGAAGATTGACCTATTAATAGGAGCGNCAGAAAATTGACCTATTAATAGGAGCGGGTCACTTCTATGATTTAATGTCTGCAGGTAAAATAAAGCCACGACCAGGCGGTCCTGTATTTCAGGAAACAAAGTTCGGATGGGTGGTTGCCGGTTCATCGGAAAATCAACTTAATAGTATAAATCAACAAACGGCGGTTTTCCTCACGGTGAATGACAATTATAACCAATCACTAGAAAAGGTAGCTGAATGTGAATTCAGTAAGTATCCTGACGCGTGTCAATCATTAGTTAACGATTTTTATGTGGATGATTGGTTAAGCGGGGCAATGAAACGGGCAGAGGCAACATTACGAGACAATATTATTACTGTAATGAAAGGTGCCGGTCTACATTTACGGAAATGGTCATCAAACGATAATAGTTTAATAGGTAGTTTATTACCTGCCGAACACAATAAAGATAGTGACGGTCCGCGTATTATCGATAACGACACGACGAAAATATTAGGCCTGTGTTGGGATCCGCCATCGGATTCATTTAAGTATACATTAAGTGAAAACATAATAAATAATTACGATATAACAAAGCGAACAATTTTATCGAATATAGCTACAATTTTTGATCCCCTTGGTTTGCTCGGACCTGTGTTAGTAGTCGCAAAAATTATCATGCAACGTTTGTGGTGCATTCAACTCAGTTGGGACGAACTCGTTTCGGAGGAAGTCGCTGTAGAATGGCGTAATTATAGTGCACAATTAACAACATTAAATAAGTTCAGTATTCCAAGATATATACTATGTGAAAATAAAATCGTTAAATTACAGTTACACGGTTTTGCCGATTCATCTATCAGAGCGTATGGTGCATGTGTTTACATTAGAAGTACTGACGAAAACGGCCATCACACGGTGCGTTTGCTACAAGCGAAGTCCAAGGTCGCGCCCATAAAAACGATATCGCTGCCTCGACTAGAACTGTGCGCAGCCCTATTATTAGCACGAATGGTAAACGGAATAGTGCCGAAGTTGAAATGCAAATTCGAGCGACAATTTTATTGGACCGATTCGAGCGTAACCCTAGCTTGGATTTCATCTCCATCTGCTAAATGGAAAACGTTCGTGGCGCATCGTGTTGGTGAAATACAAGACAAAACGTCCATAAATGATTGGCGTCATGTCCGCTCGGAGGACAATCCTGCTGATTTAATATCACGTGGCTGTACTCCAAACGAATTGCGAATTAATGCGATGTGGTGGAACGGTCCCCATTGGTTGAAGGAGGAGTACGAGAAATGGCCGAAGTCATGTGTACAATACAGTAGTACAAACAATATACCAGAAGCCAAAAANCCATGTGTACAATACAATAGTACAAACAATATACCAGAAGCCAAAAATACGGACAAAACAACAATTACGACTGTTGCATGCGTAGCGTACGATAAATGTTATTCGTTGTTATCTAGAAGGTCGTCGTTATTATTTATCATCAGAGTGACGGCGTATTGCCTACGCTGGCGGTATAACATGAATCGAGCAGTAGGTGATAAAAATAATGGGCCGTTAACGGTAAACGAACTAGATATAGCAAATAGGACAATCATCAAAATAATTCAACGCGCACATTTTCGGCAAGAATTGAGAGAGTTAAATAGTGCAAATGCGAATGTGTCAAAAAAAAGTAAACTACTGCGTCTTGGTCCATATATTGATGGGGATAATAATATACGCGTCGGAGGTCGTTTAAAATACGCTATGGCGTTAAATGACAATCAGAGACATCAAATTGTATTGCCGGATAACTGTCTTTACACAAAATTATTATTCCGTAAAGAACACATGGATTTGATGCACAGTGGACCTCAAGCCTTGGTGGCCTCTATTAGGCAGCGCTACTGGCCTTTAAAAGCGCGAAGTTTGGCTCGTACTATAGTACACAATTGCGTTAATTGTTTCAAACTGAAACCTCAAATAGTACAACCGATCACGGGGAGTCTGCCTGGTTCACGGGTACAGAGTGGAAGAGCATTTGCCATATGTGGTGTAAATTTTGCGGGTCCAGTCATGATAAGAACGAGCTTGCGTCGTAAGGCACCATGTAACAAAGGATACATCAGNTCGTAAGGCATCATGTAACAAAGGATACATCAGCATATTTGTATGTTTCGCGACAGATGCGATACATATCGAACTCGTGAGCGATTTGTCAACGAAGACATTTTTACAGGCGTTGAACAGATTTTTTGATCAACGTGTCAAAAGTTCAATAATTTACAGTGATAACGCCCGAAATTTTGAAGGCAACAGTTTGTAGCCAGTTTGTAATTTATTTAAATTTCTTATAATTCGTAGTTATTGTAATATATATGTGTCATGTCCCGTGTGGGATTAATCATTAATTTTTCCATAATGAATTTGTTTCTAATGATTATTTGTATATTAATTTTTTTTTTGTATTTATGTATTACCTTTTACGTTTTTAGTTGTTGCGAAATTTGTTCCTAGATTATAGTTGTTTTTTGTTATCTTTCACTTTGAAACAAATATTTCAAGGCGGGCGGTGTGTTTAGGCCTACACAATAAGTGTAGCTATTTTTGTCTTATCTTACCGTTGTTCGGCGGCTGCATAGTTGTCCGGTTTTAAAGTTAGTCTACCTTTGTAAAGCGCACCGCTCGCGTACATATACTATACACATATCTATTTTTCGTCTTTTACGTTTTTATTTAATTTTATCGAAGATCTTTTAGTAATAAGAGATCAAGCCGAAACAAGACTTTTGTTTTGTTTAATATTTGATTATTTCATGTTACTGATTTAATGAAATTAGTAGCCTATTCGATTAAATATGTGTTGGCAAATCACGTTATGAAATAAAACTTCTTAAAAAAAAACATCAAGAGGTATCTGAACTAAGATCGCTGACAGGTTCGAGATGTATAGCTTTAGAAGAAAACAAACAAACACTCTAATATAAGTCTTGACGAACATGCTCTTATGTAAACCTACATCATAAAAAGACTCGCAAAGTCTATTCCAATTTGAATAAATGGGCGGTTTTCGGAGCTGATAACTGTTTTATTTTTATTTTCAACTATCCCATTTATGATTG